TGGGAAATAGAAGTCGTAAGTTACCTTGTAGGCTTAGGTGAAGTATCTGGGGTTCATGATACCAAGAACTGTAAAGTCCAATCTTCCAATCACTTTCGCACCGCGCAGCAGGAACCGGGTTGTGGTGTTCTGGATAAAGCCGCAAGGCGTAGCGATCGCATAGTCTTGTATTCTTTCCTAGATGACCACGCGTATAGGGATGTAGATGAACTTCTTGTGCTGTTGGATGTAAGACTTCCTGCTTTGCACGAACTGCCTTTTCCTTTTTGCATGTGCGCGAAAATCAAAACAAAAATATTTGGGTTTCCTGAACTATATCTGGTTCGCTGTGGTTCGGTATCGATTCGGCTAGGGAAGGCTTGTGGTTGCTTACGTTGCTTTCTTTTACGTTGGTTCTTGAGATAGCATGTGTTTCTGGTTCAGGAAACCCCTGGGGCCCGCCACATTACAGATGACCGGATTCTACATCTTCAGTGCAATTAAATGTTGATAGTTTTCGCTTCGTGTATATAGGTGTTCAAAGCCACTGTTTCTGTTTTCCCATCGTACAAGTAGAATCAGACCATCCTAATGTGGTCGGCTGGGGAGGGTGTTAACCGAAGCGAGGCTCTGTCCTCCAGATGCTAAGGAACACCCCCCTCACGCTGGGTCCTGGTAATGGGCAACCAATGTATGTTTATTGTTTTGGGCGTTGAGGCAACAGCTGGGATTAGAGTAAGTTCTTTGTGGGGCGGATTGCTTCCCATCACATTGCGTATCACGGGCAGTACCGCGACTTCCCAGCCTACTTTGTTTTAGTAGATCGAGTGCAGGTAAATAAACATCACTTGGGTTGCTTGTCTGGCGCAAAGAGAATTATTATCATACGTACTAGGAGGCGTATGAGGGAAGCGTGGTACCGGTGGCTCCGTTAAGGCCTGCCTGGTGTCACCGAATTCACAGACTTCGTTTCTTCGTAGCCAGCATCTGGCATCGCCAAATGCGCTACGAGAGGGGAGCGGGTTAAGAGTACGAGTACAACACTATAAGCACCACGAACCCGCCCCCTCCTGCACCACGAGCTGCCCAGGGACAAGCCCAACCTTCCCGAGGTCAAAAGTGAGCCGCTTGGTTTGTAGGCTTGCTTCTGTCCCTTGCACCCTGACAACACCTTTCTTTTGCAGCTGCAGCTTTGAACTTGAGGCAAAAACGAGAAACAAACCAGATTCACACCCGTCTACAAGGCGCCCGGAGGGGCTATGAGGTGCGCAGGTAAGTACTGTTCCGGCTCCTTCACCCTAACTTGCTGGAAGTTGCTGACTCAAGGCCGTCAAAAGGATGATGTCCAGCCTGCGGGTGGAACCTCAACTTGGAGGGCTCGGTAAACTTACAGCAGTAAGTAGGATAATAGCCCCTATAAATCATGTGGTAACCCAAGTAAGTCCCAATATGAACCTGCTAAGCCCCCTGACCCTCCAGGAAAGAAGGGCTCTCCAGTCACAATCTCATGGTCATGTTACAGCGTCCTGCGTGAGCTTAGTTGATTCCCAAGGTAACATGTGAAGATATGTGTGTTTCCCAATTTTTTGGGGATTTCAACAATAAGGATTAAAGTATTTTGGGCTCTACACTGGGGTCCCCCTATTTTGGGAAACCACAATATGTACTTATCATAGGGTCAGGCAGGACATTGACCGCGGGAGGGTGGGGGCAGCTCAGCAACTCAAAAGGAAGGAGCATCCACAGTTATAGCCAGGTAACATCCTATATCCTCTTCGGTAAAAGTCCACAAACATTGCTATTTGTCTCGCGCTGAGCCTTTGTCAAACGTCGCAGGGATATGTAGGGATCCCAAACAGACTATGGGGGTCCCTGAGTCTTCTAGAGGGGTAATCTTGGTGAAGTGATGGCATCCTGCAGGGTCGCTGTTGAGGTATTTGCCTTAATTTGCTGTAGAAGCCTGGGTAATGAACGACGTTATTCTTGTATAGACAGCATGTAGCTACAGCATAACTTGGCGGAAGCATTGTTCTAAATAAGCAGGCCCGTAGACAACCACAGCAGGGATGCACAGTATATACCGTGTTTTCCTAATGCTCAACCTAAGCTCGAATAGCGGCAACCTTCCACCTAGCAAGTTAGACACTTGTAGCAGTGAAGGGCTTCATGCTTTCCGACTTCCCTTGAATTGAGGAACGCATCCGTAGAACCCTAAGAGGCATACACACCAAAAGCAACTGAAGCGGTTTTCTCAACATGTGAGCTAGGGGACTATTCTGGGGGTTATTAAGGGGGATACTGGGAGCTTGGATTGTGGCTCAGATGGTTACCTCTACAATGTTACGAATCCTAGGCACGCAAGGAAGTTAGTTATTTGGGTTTCTGATAAGGAACTTAAATTTAGTCACCATATCATGCGTATATAATGGTTGATAGGGAACAGCAACGCAGGCATGCGGCAACTTCAGTGTCACCCGTTTACTCTTGAAGCTCCCTAAACCCTAAAGCCCTAAACCGCCTGAAGCTCACAGGCGCACGAACTGCGACTCTATCTGCCTGCAGCTTGTCTGCAACCCATAGTTTGGGTTACTGTAGAGTCATTTCCAACAAAGTAACATTCCTTAAGTCCTGGTCAAGGGTCCAGGGTTGATGGTTTAGGTTGGGTCATTCCTCCTCAGTCCTGGTTGAGGGTTTAGGTTTGGGGGTTTAGGTTGGGTCATTCTTCCTCGTTATAACTATAACAGTCCTTCAAAAGTCCTGGTTAAGGGTCTAGGGTTTAGGGCTTAGTGTAGCTCATTCGTCCTCACAGTAACAATCCTTAAAGGAAATCTTACTGAGATGGCTGCTATAACTCCTATTACCCATTGTGGTAACGGTTATGTGGCGGCGGAATGACCAACGGGTTGAGGGCTTGGTGTTTGGGCCTCGGTTTCGAAGTTCACGTTCGGGGGTTCAGGGGTAAGGGTTTAGGGTTTACAGGGTTTGGGGTTTAGGGTTCAGGGTTGAGAGGCTCAGGGTTAAGGGTTTGGGGGTAAGAGGGTTTGGGGCTGAAGGAGTGAGGTTTGGGCAGTGGAGGTGGGAAATCCCAACAAAACATCAGCATCATGTGAGCCATAGCCGAAACTTCTAGTATCACCTTGAAAATCCTAAAATACTCCGCCGTATGATCCCCCAGATAACACCCTTTGAGGAGTTTAGACTGTAGCTCGTGTCTGGTCAGGGCTCCAGGGGAATCAGATGGGGTGTATGCAGGAAATATTGACTATAGCTCATATATTCCGAACAAGGTTTCTGTTTGGGAGTAGCTGTCATTCAAGAACTGTTGTCCAGGTGAAACAGATTACTAGGTGCTTTCCATGAGTCCTGGAATCTTTGGTTTCAGAGCTTTCAACATCTAACCATCCTTACATTGCATGTTACTATGAGCTATGTCATTGTCAAGTTCCGGGACTGTACAGCTAAAGCCTGAGGCCGAAGTCCCTAAATACTAAAACCCAAACAAGACGCCCTCACATCTCAATGCCTGAACCCTAAACCTTTAAACCCTCAACCCTCAATCCTAAACCCTAAATCCTAAACCCTAAACCCTCAATCCTAAACCCTGAGCCCTAAACCCTAAATCCTAAACCCTAAGCCTTAAACCCTAAACCCTAAGCCCTAAACCCTAAGCCCTACAGGAATAGCCTCATCAGCAGCTTAGCCGTACGCTGGCGGGGCTCTCTGGCCTTGCTAAGCGCAGGGGCAGCTTCGAGGACTGGGCGTAGGGGATTGAGGCGGATATCTATATATATATATATGTATATATCTATATGTATATAGACTACATATATATATATACAGAATATATCGAATATATATAATATATAAAATATTGGTTTCGGGGTATACGTGCGCCCCTGCGTTTTTGAGTTTTTGCATGTTGAATAGATTAATACCTTATTCAAATTATGTTTTTCGGGACGCAGGTATAGCTTGAAACAGTTGTAAAATTAGTTGCGTTGAGCCTTGAGATCCACAACTGTCATCAACCCATCAACAGTTATAAAGTACTCCATAAAAGCTCACAGGCAGAAGTACACAACCTAAAATAAACAAAAAACAAGAAAAATCTACTGTCCATATTTCTTAAAGCCATCCTACATATGTAGTCGGGAGTTTTTTTAAAATTATTTTTTGTTTTTTGGTTTTTAAACACCTGCTTCAGGTACTGGCCCCAGTTACTGCACGTCCTGGGACTCAGCATATGGAATTATAAGTGGGTATTAATTATAATAATACCTTAGGAAACAATTATGTTTATAAAGTAGAACATGCTGGTACAGACCTAGTTTCCCCAAATAGAATGAACTCAATGTGAGAAATCTAGCTCACATTTATTTTTATCCAGACGGATCCGCGCCGGCCAATGGTGGAAAATGTTATCGCCGTGCTTCTGCTGTTCTTTTCTTGTTTGGCCAGAATCATTAGCATACTTGGACTTGCATGCGTGTATGTTTTGCAGCTATATCAGACTCGCAACGCGCTCATTCTTCATCCTGTAGTTTCTCATTCCCATCATGGCCATCCAAGCCCAAGACCTGACGTACGACTTTTGGTAAAGGTGGTTGAGCCGTTGGTTTGCAAGGCTTTGACAAGCCCTGCAGTGAACAGCCTTCCGGCGGGCATCTTCGATCCCGTGACTCTACCTCTTCAGGAAATGTCGGCATCGGATAACCCTTCCGTACATTTGTTCGATGTGGTGATCTGGACTCCAAGTACAAGCAGGCGATCATCAACAATGGTCTTGATCTGCTTCCCGAGCCTTTTCGATCAAAAGTACAGCTTCCCAGGGACACCAAGTTGGAGATCTTTATCTTTCCTTGCTCCAATGGTTGTCACTACATTGTGAAGCACTACATCTTCGGCGCCAAGTGTAAGCTCAATGTGTTTATGGAGGCTGTGTATGGCAAAGCCCATATATATCGTTGGCGTGCCACGAACCCCATCCTCGGCAAAAGATTCTCCAGTACACTTTGGAGAACATGGGTGGGCATCAAATGAAACTATTCGACCTGCAGTCCTTTGCTACCTCAAAATCTTCTTCCTCACGATTTGAGGAGAAAACGGATGATGAAATTGATGCTGGCTTCGACTTCTTCCAGAATGACGGGCCCCGCTCCTCGTCTGAAATGGCGCAACTCCGGTGGATGACCAAGGCCATAAAAAATCCGGGCTCACCAATTTTCGGCTGGCCTACGGTATTGGTCGAAAAGGCCTTGCGGAAGCTTGCGACCGATGGTGCCCTTGCCAAGAAGGAGTACCAGTGGCCGATCCCTCTCACTAGCAGATATTACCACCCATGGGTTTTGGAGATCCCGGAGAAGGTGTGGGACTTCGATGTTTCTGCCTTCATGTTGCTAGGTGAAGCAGGAGCTGGTAAATCACCTCTGGGGCGTAGCATTCTTATGGCGCAGGTGCCCCATAATCAGACCCGCTTCAAGTGTAGGCAGCAGCCCTGCATTCGTTGTACCCCGGAAATCGACTTCTTGAGAGGCAGCGTGATCATGGGGGATTCCTTAGATGACACTCTGTGCCACTTGTCCATGAAGATGCTCAAGCCGATCCTGGATGTTGGGCTGTTTGAGGCGATGTCCTGAGCACGTTGGGGAGCGGTGAAATGGGTTCACAAGCAGCAGTACGTTCGCTGAGGATTCCTTGCCTAAGATTGAAGACTTCATCACCACGATCCCATATGCGGATTTTGTGAAGGTGATCCAGCCAGCTTTCCATTCGGACATTACTAACGCGCATCGCAACGCTATCCTGAAGCGCAGCGTAATCTAGCTCAACACACCGTCGCATGTCTACTTTCGTACTGCCGGCGTTGACGAAAAACACATCCCACGCATCAGCGTCCCCAACCCGGAGTTCCTCACTGATGCAGGCAAGAAACTTTATGGTGCCTTCAAGAATGGTGTGCGCATGCTCCCGGAGGACTTTCAAGTCGAGGTTCGCAAAGAGCAGGAGTGGGTGGGAAAGCTTGTCCAGAAACGCTTGGATGAACGTCGGCCTGATCATCAAATGCGTCTCAACGTCCGTGCAGCTCTCTTCCGTGATTCGGCTCCTTCCCGTCCTGAGCCCATCTCCTGCGGTATCGATCGGGAGAGTGTTCGCGTCGCACGGGAGCTGGCGGACATGGTCTCCAACGCTATGAAGAAGGCTCGCGCATGGTCGACCGAGCTGAAGGAAAGCCACACCGTGATCGATCTGGACTCACCATCTCGTCGCGAGAACTCTCAAGAAGTCCTAGCTTAGCTGCACCTCTTGCTCCTGCAGAGCCTTTCCTTCCCATCCCGAACCCCGACTTCGGCGAGGGGAGGCTCGATGGACTGGATGTCGGGGAGGAGCTTGAGGATGATGTCGATCCCTTTGGCCACGGCTTCGATCTGAACACACAGGAGTGAGCTGATGCCAGTAATGCTTCGCGATCTCACAGTTTTGCACATTTACTCTGAAACGCCACACGTCTCCTGATAGGGTATACTGTAATATATATGATAGAGTTATATAGTTATGGGTATACACGCCTGAGACTGTGTGATTTTGAGACAGTATATAAGAGGTGGTACACGCGAGCTAGGACGATGAGTCACTACTATGCTTTGCAGGTGTGTTTCTCTCCTTAAGTTATTTGATTGCCGTTAGTTTATAACAGCCATGTTTTCTAATGATTCCTCTCTCACGTAGCTCATGGTTCCTATGCCTCACGGCAGCCCGCAGACCCAGGATGAAGCGAGTGAGAAAAACACGCAGTATGCTTGTTCAATCTGCGTTTCGGAGTATGTTTGAGCCGAGGATAGCCATGATGCTCTTGATGTCTGAATCAGTTTTGCCGGTCAAGTACCGTTAGCTTTAGCGGTGTCCGCATTTCCTTCCTGGAATGGCTACATACGCAAATCTGGACGCGTTCTGCAAGGCAAGCTTCCGCATTTCTGTTTTTGATGGTCTTAAGTGATTCAACCGTGTATATACTCGATAACACAGGCCATGGCCGAGTGCAACTTCCTGAATCGTGAGCAGTTCCTCTACACGGTTAAGCGCTGCATCATTGAAGATGCTCATCCTGTGCCCGACAGCATGCCAACCAGAGCCCTGCTCGCAGCCCAACACTTCCATGTTGTACCTGATTCTCACGAATGCCCTACATGCACCTCTTCATTCCACCTTGCATTTCGCAACGGGCACTACGAGTGGCGTGGGCCTCGGTGTAGCTCAGGCTGTGCCGACTGCAATGGTCGGAGTACGCGGGTGGCTACCGTAGGTTTTCTTCGGAATGAATATCAGGACCTATGGAAGGTTTAACGTCCTACTTATGTGGATCAAGGAGTACCCCCGTGCCACCGTTCTCTTGGAACCTTCCGACCGAAGTCACAAGACGATAGACGCATGGATTGACAGCTTCCAGAACGTGGTCTGTGACTGGGCAAAACTCCAAATCACTCATGGCTTCGATGGTAAATTCTTCAAGGCCTTGGAGAAACCCACTACCTCGACGACCATATCTCCCAAGAAGCGGCCCGCCTCTACTACCAAGAGACCTGCGTCAGCCTCAAAGACACCAGCTTCTCGCAAAAAGCCAGCCTCGTGCATGAAGAAACCATCCTCCGCAATCTCATCTAACAAGGCTCGTATCTTCGTCGTGGACGAGAGCCACCTCAATAAGCACAATTGCAAGCTGGGCAAACTCTCCAAACAGGGCTGCCCGCAGAAGGATCAGATTTGGATATGGGGCGCCGTGCTCCAAGGTAATATGTCCACCCACTTCATGTTCGAGATCCTTAAGCATCCGGCCGACGCCCTGGATTGCAAACCCAGGGGCCACAAGGAGATGCTTCATAATCTACGCTCCTTGGGGCTTCGGCGTCATGATATCTTGGTGTCAGACAAGTGGAAAGCCACAGTGTCGTCTGCGGAGACTCTCAGTCGCGACATGCCCTTCGAGCACCAAATCGTTAACCACAGCGCCGGCGAGATTGTGATCTCTGATGGCTACACCACGAATCCCATCGAGGCCAAATGGTCCGTAATGAAGAGGTGGGTTCGCAAGCGAAATGGAGGCAAACTTCCCAGTCATTCTGATCGCCAGAAATGGACCAATGTCATCTTTGAGTATCAAGCTAGATGTCTTCTTCGCGCACAACGTCCCGACATCATTGATCACGGCCACTTTCATGTTCTGAATTTCCGCGAGGCGCTTAGGTTGTTTGCTGTTTCCTAGACTCGTATGGACCAAATGGTTCTTCGGCATATGCTCATGATGCTTTCGCGGAAACGCCCCGCTAAAAAGCGGAGATGGTACACTTGGAGTACATGATGTAGGAGTTATATGAGAGCACCTGTGCTTGCGCCATGCAGACGTTTCAGCTAATTATGAATCGCGCTGAGTGCCATGGTGTTCTATGGACTGGTTCGGCCGTACTTCTCGGACAATTTGGTTAATGATGCCATGGTAATTCTCGATAGCATGATCTTGAAGCCCACCGCCATCCCATCTGCACCTGCACCTCTGCACTCTTTGGGTCATCTTCAAGATGACCACTTTATTCGTTTTACTTTTGTTTTAGTACAGCCTATTCATCTTGGTCTTATAATATTTTCCTTTATTTCCTAACACAAGGATGCGTCGCGTACCGCTCCAAAACCAGCGTATACTACAAAGTGACCAGGTTCGGAGATCCTGAAGCCGAGAAGCTGCTTACTTCTGATGAATTAACGGAATTGGGTATAAAGCAGTGGAAGCTGCTTCACATCATGAGAAACTTGCGAAGTGGCATTCCTTAGTGATTATGCTCATGAACTGAATTTGGAGGCGCAAGAGTACTATTCCTTCAAGGATGGTGCTCATGAACTGAATGCTGACGTGCAAAAACGCAGGGGCGCAGGTAAACCCCCAAACCAAAATATTTGTATATATATATAAACGTGCATATATGTATATATATTTGGGTTTAAGGTTTAGGATTATAAATACATGTGCATATGTATATGTAGAAACAAAGAGAATGGAAACTACTATAGAATTTAGGGTTTAGAAATTAGGCTTTGGGGTTTGGAGTCAAGGGCTTAGGGATCTTACCCCCAATGATAGAGATTTAAATGCAAAAGAAAATCGACGTGAAATGGGAACTAGTGATATATGGCTTTAAAGAGCTTGGGGTTTGAGATTTAAGTTTTAGGGATGTTAGGGTTAAGGGTTTACGGATTAGAGGTTCAGGGTGCAGGGATTTACGTAGTCCTCGGGGATTAGTTTTTCGGGCAGTATGAATTGCAGCACTTCGACTGGTGCAAGATCTTTCTGCCATGGATGTGGGGGCGGGCTGTGTTGCGCAGGCTAAAACTTAAACCCTGAATCCTAAACCCTAAGCCCTAAGCCCTCAATGGCCAGTTCCGTGCCTGAGCCAGGATACGTCGGGATGTCGTCAGCTTCAGTTCTGCAATCAGCTGCTTGGACTTGACTTGCTGCCTGTAGGGACGTATTATGAAGGGATATATAGTCGTATATAAAGGTTCTACAGATAGGCTTATATAGGGCTCTATAGGGTTTATAGGGATGATATGGGGATATATAAGGAATGAGAAACAAGATGGGAACTAGAATAGTATCAGGGTCCTATAGGGGCTGCTACAGGGATCCACTCCTCCAATCGCTACTAGCAGTAAGTAAGTTTAAGTCATATTGCATCGTACTACTGTTGCCTATGCTGGAGTTTTGTCCTGTTTCCATCCTTTTTTTAAAAAACCTGGGACTCGCCTTAAATGATCTTTATACAAGCCGTAAGGACCCCCAAATCCTTACATGCTTCCCATCTATCCTTCTGGCCTAGGCGCATCTCCTTTTTCGAGTTTAGCGTTTGAGGTTTGAGGGTTCAGGGTGTATGGCATCTTAATTGGTCGGCTGTCTTGGGGAGCGGAATGCAACCTGCTGCTTGTAGATCATCCCGCAACCCGCCCACCCCCAGAAAAGCACCTCGCCCCTCTATGGGGGTTAGGGCTTCATATTCAAATCAAACATCCCCCCACCCCTCATCTGAAATATGTCTCCCCAATACACAAGGTCTCGTCGAAGAAGTATTTGAAGATCAGGGGGGGCGGGTGATACCAGTATGAAGGGATTTTTACTGTTGTTAGTGTTAGCAATCGTGATAAATGAAACCCCTCCCCTCCTAAGAATACATCTCCACCCCTCATATGAGCTATAGTCTAAACTCCTAGTATCCCCCTTCGTAGCCTTTGTAATAATCCCCCTATACAATCCCTATATAATTCACCACATTTAAGGAGTTTAGATTAAAGCTCATAGAAAGGCTTCATGATTGGAACGTGTATTGCAACGGTGTGAGTGGGCATCACAATGGGAAGAGGATGAAGACACTTTCATCAGCTTACTTACTGGTGGTAGTTAGGAATAAGGGAGTGCAATCCGTGTGTAATTCCTATATAAGGTATCCCGCTTTCACTACTATCCTTGCATCATAGGTATATATGTATACATATATGCCCTTGTTCCCTACTAACTCCCCGTGAGCTTAGGCGGGCTGCAGAAGTCTCAGCAGTGGAGCTTTGCATCCGGGTTGCTGGGACACATGGCGCAGCTACAGGCCGATCTCGTGACACAGCGGTTTAGGGTTTAGAGTTTGGGGTTTAGGGTTGGGGGTTTACTGTAGGGTTTGGGGTTTGGGGTTTGGGAGATTCAGGGTTAATAGAACCCGAGTACAGCTGTACTTGTAAACGTTATGTTAAAACCATGATAACCGAAGTATAACCCCGCCAAGTCCCTCATGTGGTGATACTAGGGTTAGAAGTATTAGTCGTAGTCGGGTCATGGCTACTCTGAACCTCCAAGTACGGGGCCTTTGCATCCTTCTGGAGCATGGAACAAGGCCCATACCCAACGCCCCTGACATCATATACGGGATTTACGAATTCTGCTCAAGGTTCTACGGTAATTTTGTACCGGTACTCGAGGGAGCAGACCCTATGTGTCAACCTGTCAAGATTATGCTGCTCTTTTGGTGTGAGCCCTGTAAACGAGCACTATCAAGGAGGCACAGTACCAGTTAATAGTTCAGATTCAGAGGTCCAGGGTCCGCGAGGTGCATCCGTGAGAGGCTAGCATGTGGTTTTTCTGCCTGCTTGAACAATGTACGCAATCAGTCTTGAAGAAGGCGGTCATGGCAGGATACCTGGAGGTACTGACAAGCAGGTTGCAAGTAGCAAAATGTGCAGCCTCTTTTGAATACCCTATAAGTGTGTACTCTATAATCCCCCATATAACCCATTATTACAGTAGTTTCCATTTTCTTTTCCATTATCCCAATATTACCCCACTATATATATATATGTATATATATTACCTACAGCGCCACGTAATTGCTACATTGCTACGGGCAAGGCCAGTTTCATAGATAGCTCTATAGATTCTCCAACTTGGTTTAGGGTTTAGGGTTTAGGGTTTAGGGTGCCATAAACCGGACCATCCTACGTAGACCCTACAAGCACCCTCTACCACGGCTTCTGTACCTCTTTCTCGGGACCCTATAGCCCCAATTAAGGGTACTGGGAGGGTCTTAGTACCTGTGACTAAACTTGGAACTAGCCAGGAATCCCCAAGTTGGGTGAATCCCAAAACTATGTACAGGGTTCTATGGGGTTAGGGTTCTAGGGTTTAGGGTTTCGGGTTCTAGGGTTTAGGGTTCTGGGGTTTAGGGTCATTCCCGTCTTGCGCCTTAAAAGGGACCTCAATGGCTCCCTGGAAATCCCTACATCCCCCAGGGGTCCCCAAGCCCCCGCCTCTGAGAAACTCGAGAAACTCCCACATCCAGCTGAGAATTGGAGCTTCTAATAATCAGCGGGTCACGTTTTGAGGGTTCGTGACATTCAGACGAGAGTCGTTGAGGGGTATAGTCTTAGGGGCACGCTTACTATGGAAACCTACAAAGTTTCAGCTAGACAGCTGAGCCACAATCTCAAGAGTTGACATAGGGGTCCTCATGGTAGTAGTATCGTCTCTAATATATTCCCAACTAAGAAACCCATGCCCATTAACTCTACAATTTGAATATTGACCCTAAACCCTAAACCCCTGAACCCTAAACCCAAAACCCCTAAACCCTAAACCCTTAAACCCTAAACCCCTAAACCCGGCTCAGCTTACCCTTGGAAGGTGCCGCCGAATCTCATCAGTCGCAACGCCGCCTTAGCTGCGCAGGGAAGTCGCGGCAACTGGGCAGTCCCATTTCAAAGGTCAAACCCTAAACCCCAAACCCAGGGTTTAGGGTTTAGGATTTAGCGTTTAGGGTTTAGCCCTAGACCCCTAAACCCTTAATTAATCCTAAAACCCTCAACCCCTAAACCTTGAACCCCCATGCCTTAAACCCCTAAATCCTAAACCTTAAACCACCACTATGGGCTCTTAATCCTGGAGGCCATATTGACCTAGCATTTTCTCGACACACACACATGCGTCTATATTAGGTAGGTACAGACCGTAAGGGCCCTTCGAAGCACCGTAAAAGGCCCAGGGTCCAAAATCTTTCTTGGTCCATACTCCCAAGGATAGACAGAACGTATTCTGACTCAAAAGGGAGGATATGGGCCTCCAATGTTCCTGGCCACAATTGGGGGTTTCCCAAAATCAAGGGTACCATTTTGCGGCTCCCTATAATAAGGGCTATAGTATTTTGCGGCCTATATTGGGGTTCCCCTATCCTGGTAAACCCTAAACCCTAAACCGCAATTTGTTCCACGTTGGTTTCAACTGGAGGGATTTCACCAGGCTACCTGTTGGGAAGCAGTGAGCCCCGGGGCCACCTTTTGCTGTGTCTCGTTCAGATGTGGACCAACCTAAAGGTCCCTCCTGTAGTTTAGTATAGCCCCTAAAACAGTCCCTCGTATGGAAACCATGTCCATCAGATTACATGGGAAATGTCCCTACACCTTAATCCTAAACCGCGTGGCTATTCATTACCTGGGTAATGACCCTAGAACCTAAACCCTAAACCCATTGTAGTTCATATGTCCCCAAGTTTTGAACATTCGCAAAACGGTCTTTGTAAACCCTGAAGGCCCCGCAAAACGCTAGAAGCCCTAAATTACTAAAGAAAGGCTTGAGATTTAGCGTCTACATCCTACAGAGCCCCCCTAACCTGAAAGGCCCCTGAACCCGAAAGTGCCCTAAACCCTGAGCCCTTAACCCCAAATCAGGCGACTGGCGACGGG